AAGGATATAGACTTTGGTGGGCTTAATCAAGTTTATTAACAATAAGTATAGTACTACTTTTAGGAGTCACTCCTTAATTGTAAGAACATTACTTGCTGTTTAATAAAGTAGTTGAGTTTGTCGGATTGTAGTGTTGTTCTGTTGGTTAGCTTAGTCTGGTTTGTATAAATTGATTGGTCAGTTTTGCTGTGATGTTATTGGCTATAAGACTCAAGTAGCATAGGTCAGTCATGATTGGTCAGTCTCGATCTGACTAAGTAAAGTTAGGTTGTTCTATTAGGTTCATTTGTAATGTTAATGTTGTCAATGAGTCATTTGTATGGTGCCAGTAGTGGTTGACACCTGTTGAGGAGAGTCTGTTTGAAGTTAATAAACCAGCTTTCCAGAGTAAGTCATTGAAAGTAGTTGGTGCTGTAGGTTAGGCATTGCACAGAGTCCCAGTCAATAGTGTGGTTCGTAAGTTGAACAGTCAACTGACAAAAACTATTCACTTGACTACAATGATGACTTTCGCTCAGATTGTAAAAATGTCAGTCACCACTACTGACAACAATCCTTCTCAGGGCTACACTCACCCAGATGATCAAACTACACTATTACATCTTTTGATGGTTACAAAGACAAAAGCAAACAGCATTTGTTATCCAAAGTTTCCTCCCAGGCTTCATTAAGTGCAGTGCCTACATTTTTAGTTCTCTATCACTATGCAGTCACACCTGCAAAGTGTTAATTTGTACTGCTTTCAGGTTTACATAATACACTTCCCCTTATCTATTATCATTATTACAAACACCTTTTTTTATGAATATGATCATTTCTACCACTATAGGCCAACATCACTCCTAACTGAACATCTTAGCCTTAGAAAGGTATAATATAGTGCTACAAAAGGTTTAACTGCAGAAAGCAACAAAGACACAAGATCCACACACCTTTTATTTGCCTCCAAAGCCAGTTGAGTTTTGAGACGACTGAGATTTGCAGGACAGCTGAATACACCTCTCTGGTGAAGCTCTTTAAAGAAGAGAAAGATTTATTTGCACTAGACCCTTTGAATTTCTTAGAATTAAAAGTTAATGTAGTGACACACTGCTTATTTCTTCATTAATAGTTTTAGGAACCTCCTTAAATGCCAGCTTTTAAAAAAAAGATATATATCAGCTGCTGAACAATACCAAAGTCAGTGAAAGATAAAAAAGGAAAGTCATTATTCACTTTACCTAATTTTTTTAAAAATCCATATAGATATATCTTGATTGGTTGTTAACTACTATCTCTTAAAGGGAAGATATTGCAACCAAAGCAGTAGTTGTCTACAAGTCATGCACATGCACTACATTTCTTCACAGATGCACAGAAACATGAAAATTGTTTTCAAAACCTTCAGGAAAATCTAAAAAAAAGCATCTACCCAATCTCCTGCCATTTTTAAACACATCTGCCTATGTTTTAACTTACTCTGGGCTTTGTCTAAATATTTAGCAAAGAGTCCTTGAACAACAACCACAATCTCAATTGTAAGGCGTCTGTTGATGGAACAAAGCAAAAACTATAGACAATAAATATCGCATAATAGAAAGACCAATTAGTTTTGACTTTAACTTATTGTGCAGCTAACTTTCTTGAATAAAGAAAAATATTAATTGGTGTTCTTGCTCCAAAGACAATGGTGTATGAACATGGTGATATGCCTTATCTCTGATCTTTGATTACACTGAGCATGGGAGTCCTTAAGGAAAAAAGTCTTATCTGTACTTAAGGTATCTGTCATACAAGTATCCATGGACATGTCGCCTCACATTTGTTGCCTCTTGACAGACACACATGTACACATGTACTTGCTCAACAAATGGCGGATACTTTACCAACACTGAGCTGACAATTGCCTGACACTTTACTGACATTGAGCCAACACTTGGTCAGCTGTTGTTACCACATGTGATCTTCTTTACTTAAATTTCAACTCATCCATTCTTGACTTTTATGCCAGCAACATTCATCTATGTCAAATACTTTTTTTTCAGCTTCTTTTTGTTTCTCATCATGGCTGTGTTGTAGGTCAAATATTACTTTGCATTTGCTCATGCTTGTTCAGACCTCAAGTTAAGTTAAATTTGTAATCAAGTTATATTCCTCACTCTATCGTAAAGACGTTAGAGACTCTTCTTTCCTGTCCCCTTTGGTAAGGAAAGGGCTGTGAGACAGCTGCTATTTCAGCAAAACAACAATTAACAACACACAAATAGCACCAACAGTGGAACAGTACAACACTTATGTTGCCAACTGTTTTAATTGCAACCTAACAGCCAACTTGAAGGCCGGGTATTGATCAACTGTTGACCAATTATGGGTCATGTGGACCGAGTATCGGCCAATGTATCAACCTCCTTCATGCACTTGACTGACAGGTGCCAGCACTCATTATTATACTGCTGCAGGGCGAGCATTTCCCTGCCTGCAGGAAGATTTGAGATGAGTCAAGGTGAGGTGTGCCTTAGTTCTGGCACTAACAATGAGCTCTACCAGACCTCTTGCTGGCTTCCATTACTCAAGAACTCAAAATTTCTTGCATGAAAGGAAATGCTCATATTACAGCAGTAGGCTATTTTTTTACCTCTGCAATTCTCTGTTCTGTTGTCCTGTCTAATAACCAAAAGGGGAAAAGCCAAGTGAGAATAAAAACATATATAATTTTTAAATAATACCTTGTTTGAATCGAAATTTTTTCAACAGCCTTGTGACATGGCATTTGTTCACTTTAACAAAACTTTATTATACATGAATGTACATGTGCATTAAAGGCTCATTGATCGATTTGTCAATTTTGTTTTCATGCATTATAGTGTTCAAGGATAATACTTTCAATGAAAAACAAAATCAAATTATCTGTATTGATTAGCAATACCAAGAATGGATCTGGAGGGCCTCTTTGTACATCTTGCCAGATGCTGTTTAATTCATTCATGAGTATTCCAATCTAAAGGAAAATGTACATGTGCAATGAGCATCTTACATGGTGTAACCATTGGCAGTAGAGAGTTGTCAAAAAATCTGGTTTATATACTCACCAAAATATAAAAAACTTTTCATGGGATAAATAGAAGTATCCACAAAATAGTATTTAGCAAGGTTCGTACTGGTATATTGAAAAATTAAACTTGCGACTTTGATGCCATTTTTTCTCTCTCTATCCCATTCTCTTAGAGCCATATCCAACTAAGACTTATCAATCAATTAAATCAAGAAATTGATCAAAACATCAAGTTGAATACTGCATTTTTGCAACTGAGGCAAAATGTTGCCATGGTGTATTTTTGCTTGTAATGAAATCAAAATTCTCTAAGAACAAAATTGATGATTACTTTTTTTAATCACAAAGGTGCTTTGACTCTTACACAAATTCACAGTTCATGGATTTTTCAAAGCCAAATTTGCCTACACAACCATGTAGCTGCAAACCCATTCACACCATCTTTCTTAGGTAACTGCAACTTTACCTCTACAAGTATTGTATCCCAGAAAATAAACACAGTGATGGAGATTGAAAGGAAAACAAAACCAACAGTTTCCCATGAGACCACATATTACATGTAATGGTCTAATTAATGCATACACAGAACAGGGGTGATTATCCTTAGTCTTGACATTAAAAAGCACAAATTCTCTCTGGACATCAGTGGGATGCATACCTGTTCCCTTTACAAATCTATGCACACATACTTGAAAATTAGAAATAAGCAAATTGGTGTACATACCAATTGGTGCTGGTCACTAACAGACAGTCCAGCAATTCCCTCCTTTGGTGTGAGTCTGGGATGAACTAGTTTTGCCAAAGCACTGAATGATGATGGTGGCCATTTAACTGCATCCTATCCATGTAAAAAAACCTCTGATTACAAACTTTGTTTCACTCAACTTGAGTCAAACCTTCAATCAACAAGAATAATTGTCCTCAGAAAGCACCTGTTTTCAAATAGTATCTGTTAAAATATCCTTGTTGAATGATCAAGGTTTACATCACATCATATTTACTACACATTACATACAAGTGAGTGCAGAAGACATTCAAGGTGCTATACCAACTCTGTTAATTGTACTGTACAAACATCCATTATGTTATGTACCTCAATTGGTGTTAGTGGTCTTTCAACTTCAGGATTCTCATTTCCAATATCTTTCAGAGATGAAAGAAGGTATCACAAAGTTAATATAATTTCAGTGTACAGCTGATTATCACAAGAATTATTTCAAAACATACTCGAAGGTTTTCCTTAAAAATTTAAAAGTAAAAGGGGGGGGAGGCGGTAATAACCATTTGTTTTTTTTACACAGAGAAGAACAGACGAAAGAAAAATATTTTCAATGTCCAGGACTCGGAAAATCCACCTTCCAGAGCAGATAGATCTCCCAGGTGGAGAGAAACATTCTTTGCTTGACTTAAACTGCAAAGCCAAACGTTCAAAGCAATGTAATTTAAATGAAACAATGCAAAAAAACGCAACGTTAGTTTGTGTAAACTAAACGTATGACATACAAGTATCTGCAATCACATTCAAACAAAGCCGTCCCCTACCTGCTCCATCTTCTGGTTCAAATAGACTTAAAGGTCCCACAAGATTCGTAAACTTCATGTGAAATTCCCTCTGTTTATGGAAACACAATATAAGGAACTAAGCTAAACAACCTTGTCTCTACTAGTATCAAGTTAAGTAAAACGTTTTAAAAGGAGGTAGGGGCCTTGTAAACGTATGAATGATAACATGCATTAAACAAAATTTAAAACTTACGGAACTGAATGGTGGCCTCTCCAGTTGATAGAGTCTATCTTTTTTAGACATTTTGATGTTATGACTTTTTACCCATTTTAGAAAGTTCCAAAATGGCGCATCATACCTCACTATGGCAACACGAGTAGTAGGGCTGATAGGGAGAGTTTCACCTGAGGAGGGTAGAGTGGAGTTCTAATATATCGTCACCTACAGCATTGCTGAAGTAGACACTGGTGCGCCTGACAAGAGAAGAAACAGCTGGAGAGTATCATTATTATACGATGGTATAAAAGTTACAGAATACAAGGATGCTGCTCCGTGGTTTCAGAACTCAGCTTTGAATAGAATTTCCCTAAGTATTTACACTTTCCGGACGCAAAACAACGCAGGCGCAATGACATCATATCTCTAAAAGGTTATAATGGAGGACAACATCGGCTGAGGCAGCAATTCTCTCTTTTCACGATTTGTTGGACTTGTGCCCACGATGACTTCTTTTCAAAAGACATTTCGCAAAAGTGGAAGTCGTATGTATTTTTTTTGTTCTCCCTTTGAATGTCCTCGCAAAGAATTCGAAAGACAACAGTAAATTTGTGATGTTCTGTTTTCGACCTTGTGCAACAGTATAGAAATAGGCGTCAATTTTAGAAAAATGCTTGCCGTTCTACCCTAAGATCTACCATATACTTGTAGAGTTCCTTCTAAAATTGAATTTTACATGGTATTTTTTAGACATATGAGCATCAAAGAATGATGCTATTGAACATTAACTCCTGCAATAAACTCATCTTTAGATCATGCAGAATTTCACTCTTTGCAAGGAGTCGAGGTCAAAATTGGAGAGAAGTTCAGACCACCGAAAAAGGTAAATAGGGTTGCTGTTACCTCTCGATATATTTCCTTTTTCTTACGTCAGCCTTTAAGGCTGGTAATCGTGTAAGCAAGCTATCAACATTACATGATTTGAAATGGTTTGAACCCGTGATTATCAGCAGATCATTCAAGTACATTTCGATCGTCCTGAAAGGTAGGTTTAGTTATCCTAAATAAAACGCAGCAATTACAGACGAAATTTTAATATATGTTACTTCGTTTGAGTTATGATTTAGCATTAGAAAACTTTTTCCGTGTTTAGCCTCATTTAAAGACAAAGGTGGTCCGCAGGAGTTATGCGAACCTGAGATGCAGTTGAAGATTTGCATTGCTTTTGAGGATTCTTTCAATCCCCTGGGGCTTCATCTTTATGGAAAAATTCTTTGTTAAATATCTCTCAAAAAGTTGTGTAAATCTAAAATGGCACAATGGTATGTGCACACATCATCCAGATGCTCTAATCAACTGGTGAAAGTATGTCAAGTATCTCAGTTGATTTATAATGTGTGGTTTAACTTCAGGTAACATTACCTGTTGGATGGCAGCAAAGAGATCCCTCAGCTGTCCTAAGCTTAACAGTAAGTGGTTAAGATACATAAAGAAGTTTTGCTGATGTTATGTGTTAGAATATATCCTACAATTGAAACCTACGTACAGTTACAGACAAATTCTTTGGTGAACTGCAGTGGAATGACCTGTGTATTCATAGAGCATGTGTTGGAAACCTGAAGGTGTACACAAACTATGTTTTTGTGCAGGGAAAAGAGGAGAGGTTAAACTCATACATAAACATTAACTAGAAGAAGTGTTTTCTGTATTGTATCTCTTTGGTTTCTGCTTAATACATATTTTTCTTTGCTTTTTTTTTTCTTTTAGTATGACTTCAGTCTTGAAAAAGATGTCATTTCTAAAGCAGATGCCTTAAAGGCCTCTACAAAAACAGAGGTGCAATCCTCACCTGAAGCTCATCTGGAAAGTTCTTCTTCAGATGCTCCTCCTGGTCAAAATGTAGTCTTTTCAAATTTCGGAAGTGAAATTCTTCAACCTGTGGTTGCTCCTGGATTAGGACATAAAAAAAGTGATAGCTTTGGGGGAAAAGGAAAAAAATCATTTGACTTGGCAGATTTTGAGGGTGACACATCAACACCATTTGAACTTGTGGAATTGCAAACAATAAATGATATGGATGAACTAAAAAATGTTCTTCAACCTGACATGATAAGGCCAGCTACCTCTTTGGAAAATCCATCCAGCTCTCATGCTGATAATAAACTAAATACCTCTACAAGTACTTCAGCTACTACCGTCAGTGTTTCTCCTTCTCATAACTCACTAATTGATATTACGGGAACAAATTCTTTCAATAAACCTTCACCTGTCACTAAACTTTCAGATGCAATAACCTCAACCAATGTCAACGAAGCGGGTGCATTGCTAGTTGACTTCGGAGATTCAAAGACGTCTTCAAGTACTCATCAAGTTTCAGCTGTAAATAGTGACTCAGTCACCACTACTTCTTCTTGTAACACAAGACTTTTTCCTGAGAACAGGCCAATCTCCAGGGGGGCAGTGTTACCCCCAATTGGGCACAGTTTTTCCTCAGCAGGTTCTCAACAACTGCAAGGACAAACCCATTCTCAAATTTCAACACATGCTAATGAGAGTAGAGATTCATTCCAGGGTGGAATTTATAGTTTTCCAAAAACTCCTCCATTGCAAGGGCAACAAGCAATTGCAATAGGTCAAGATGCTAGAACACAATTCAGACAGAACAGCCCTCCCTCAACTGTTTCTAGTTTAAGGGAACCGGAGTGGAAAGTCCCAGAATCCCCTGAACTTCAAGTGAGTAACCTTAATAATTTGGTTTTGTTGACCGAGTAGATAATGAAAAGTTGCCACTGTTAAGAGTTTCTAAAGCAGAAATTTCAAGCATCAGCCCTACATCAGAGTGAAATATTCACCATTTTCTCCTACATGGGAATAAAGCTTGAAAAATCAGCCGTAGAAACTCTGTACATTGGCCAAGTTACATTTATCAACTCAGTTGATAAAAACAATTTTTCTTGTCATACCTCCCTTCAATGCATCACCAGAGTTTCTTTAGAGACTTACCCCTTTAATCATTTGAAAAAATAACATTCTTAATAAAGTTACTCTTATTAGCAGGTTCATTGAATAAACAGCAATCAGCGTCACTTCCCCATTGTTTATCATCAAGCCCCTTGTAGGCTTACCATACACTCATCAAAATGAGTCCTTGAAATATAGGCTTGCCACACAAATTGGAGAGTTTATTCATCATACTGTTAGCTGTAGCTACTCTCAAGGAATTGCTTGGTTACTCTAATAGTCCAACATGAATACATCCAAGTTTTTGAAGTGAAAGGACCTAAGGATAAAGACACATAGATCTTAACTAAACTCATAAAGCTCTCAGGAGAAAGGCCTGTGAGAGGAAGGGAGGCTGTAGGCTCACAAAGCAACATTAAACAGCCTTGTACTACAATAAAGAATAACAGTTGATTTTATTAGACATGTTTCCTTTGAGGATGGAAAGTACACATTGCATATATACAACCTGTGCAATGTAGATACATGCAGTACTTTTTAGACTTTCCTCACAGAGGCTTTTCAAAGACAATAAAACAAATTATTCCCACTCACTTCCAGTCCAGTCAGTTCCATGTTTAAGGCTAAGACCTTTAGCTTAAAGTTGTTTTACTTCTTTTAATGGAAAATGTTTCCTAAGAAGTGATGGGAAAAACACAATTTTGTACTTGAACATTTTAGCATGAATTTGTAACTCAGAGAAATTGCAAAAATCATTGATTACTCTGGATACTAGATGTAGATTTTGTTTTGGCTATTGCCAGTCATCAACTTAAATACAAACTGTTGTTTTACAATTCATTTGTTATCTTTTACATTATCTGCACACGTGGCTGTTGTATAAGGCTCTTTCAATTTGTAATAATTCCAAAACATCACAAGCAGACATTGATTTTTTTGATACATTCAATAACCTTCAGTATCTCACATGAAGTGTAATTTTTTTTGTATAGAATCCTGGAGTGTGTGGGCGTTATCCTTCTCCATTGCCTCCAATTGGAAAGCTAGATCAAGGGCAAAGGATTGGTAAAGTTTGTGAAGATAGGTCCTCTTTACCAGATCCATGGCCTGTTTTAGAAGAGTCAGAAAAAGCATTTGTCAAAAATATTGCAAGCATGGGTTTCCCTCAGGCACGTGTTAGTAGGGCTGTGCAGAGACTAGGGATGAAAGACAGTGAGGTAATGTGTTCAAGCACCTTTTCCTTGGCCATGGTGTTACCTCTGTTTTTCACCATGTATACCAGGCCAGGAGAGTAGTTACTTTGATAACAATTGAAGGGGCCAGGATACCAAGAGAATTTAATCCTGTGTCACCAAGAGCATTTGAACCTGTGCAGCAGGGAGGGTTTTAAGTTAAAATACATGCACATAGTTTTTCATAGTTTTCTATGTTTGTCTTAAAGTTGTAGGAATGACTTCTTCTTTTTGAGATTTGCCCAGACAAAGAGAAAGAACAGAACATGGATAGAGGCATTATTTAAATTATAAAGTTTTAACTTTCACCTCTGCCATTAAGAAGTATCTTGAACTTATGAAATTGAAAAACATGGTAAAAATTTGATTATGCACATGTATGCTGGCATTGAGAGTCTCACTTAGCAACCAGTTTACTTAGCAAGGCAGTTTACCAGGAGGTGATAAGCTCCACGTCTCTTTTATCCATCTCTTGATGATCACTTCAAACTTTGTGGAGCTACAAAAAAAGGACTAGCTAGGGTTCTGAGTTGTTTTCAAAATGGCCGGGTCAATAGTCAAATTTGATACATTTGAGTTTTTTTTTTTATTATTATTGGATAGGTTATTCTTTGTAATCTTAAAGTGTGGTAAGAAGTAAACTTTTATAATTGCACTTTTATGGCAGGGAAAATCATATACTTTCTGTAATAAACTCTCCATATTTCTCCTTTTTAACCATGAATCACATGGGCACAATTACCGTAATTTCCGGTCGATTACCCGCACGGCCGATTACCCGCACCGGCCGATTATTGCATACGGCGAAAAAAAAGTCAACGGATTACCCGCACCGGTGGATAACCCGCACGTTGTTATTCAACTTTTTCGGTGGCGAAAACGTGACATTAAGGCGATACATTTCAGTCTTTCGATTCAGACATGTGCACAATTCTGTGTCAATATTAGCTTATACTTTATTGATTGATTATTGCTGCTGCTCTATTACCGATTTCATCGGCAAGAGTTATTACTCTAAGCTTATAATCAAACGTAAAACTGTGACGTGGGCGTTTCACAGCAGGCATTTTAACTTAATTGGTGACTCGTGGATACACTTATCGCGAATGATCGAGGTTTATAATTCTTATTCAGTCAGTTACCTTTTTATAGCATGTAGGAGCGTAATGAGCAATATCCATTGTTCATTTGTCGTTAAAATACTTTTTCAGCGCGAAATTAGTTAAGTTTCGCACCTATTATTTTCAACATTCTGGTGATGCATTTGGGATTTAAAATTACTGTCGGCAATTTCTCAAAAAAATCGATATCTCCTGTTCTACTGGGCCTAACAAGTCCCTTAAAACGGGAAAATTCTCTTTAGCTCAAGCTAGTGAAAACTGGAAATTTGTTACTGATGCGCCGGATATCCTTGGATTATTTTTGTCACCATCAAGGTTTTGTTTTCACGCGTGCCGATAAAAATTTGTTTGTCACGCAACTAATTATGCGTGAAATAAACTCGAGTTGGCATCATGTTTTCGTGCCGCTTTGTGGCACTTTTGATACAATAAAATTCATTTGAGAGGTGGAAACGCAGGTAGGTGAGAAATTTTTTCAATTCAACTTCCAGAAGAATTTAAAATTGTCACATAACCCGCACCTCCCTATTACCCGCAGTGGCGCGGATTTAATGCAAAATCAACAGATTACCCGCGGATAAACGACCGGAAATTACGGTAGCACTTATTATATTGTAATTGAAAGGATAAAAATAAAAGTTCCAGGTTCCAAACAAATTGCCAAAAATGCTAATTCCTGGTTAAGTAGATTGTATGTTAATCCAAAACTGGGGATGAATTGTCAGTTTTAACATTCCACTGTTGAATTTACAGGTCATGGAATTCCTATTGGCTGTAAATGATTTGATTGAAAAGAAATATCCTCCAGACACTGTCGAAGTTGCCCTCATATATAATAACAATGAGAAAGCCAAGGTACTCAAAGTGTACAGTTTGCACTCTGTCTTTTACTAGTATTACAGGTGAACAAAGGTATTGTGTGAATAGCTTATACCAGCTGAGGAAGGATTAGTTTTCAACTTATACATAAGCCACCTTGAGTGTTGGTCAGAATTTTGCCTTGTGCTGATGTACAAGTCAAGCCCTGTTTAAGATGACAGGGTGATTTTCAATCCAAAAATACATGCCAGCTTTTGTCTGAGTTGAATGTGTGAGATTCTCCTCAGATTGCTAGAAATGTTTAACCCTTTAACTCCCAAGATTTCATTAATAATTCTCTTTACTGTCTGCCATTTAATTCGTGTGATGTTAGTTTGGAGAATTTGGAATTGGATCAACCAATAATCCCCTAATTAACATTTTTCTTTATTCTCATTACTTGTCTGCTTGATATTGTACTGATGTATGAGAAGAAATTTTGTCTATGTCACTAGTGGGACTTAAAGAGTTAAGAGAACTTGATCATATCTGAAAATGTTCCAAGAATGTTCCAAATATTTCAAACATGTTCTGACTACATACCATAGTTGTCTTTGGGAGTTAATAAAAACAGTCTCCAATGACCTTCCTTTCATTACCAAAGGTTTAAGCTTATGAATAGTAATTTGCATAGACTAATCTTCTATGGTCTAATTCATATATACACACTGGTTACACTACACATTTTAAGCAGTTTTTGAATTAGGGCTGTGGTAGCTTGAGTTTTTCTTCTAAGGGAGTGAAAATAGCTGTCAGGTATGAACTTGCAGAAGACAAAGGTTTTGTTTTGCAAGTGTAAGAATCACGCAAAAGTTTTGTGGGCTGGTGGTATACCAACACATGTTTTAACTCATGTACATTGTACATGTGGTCTCCAGTTATGGGCACATGTAGAGAAAGAGGTTCAATCATGAAAAATACACCCTTTGCTGAGGGTTGAAAAGGCTTTAAGTCCTCTCCTCCTTTTATTCATGTGCATGGGGCAGAAGATTGGATTCACATATTTTTTCAGGAGATTAAGACCTTGAGGTTAAAAATTATAGACAAAACATTCTTTCTTGGTAATCATGTGTTCATGTAACTACTTACTTGGCAATCAAACTCCTTTATGCTTGCAGGCAGCTGAATTTCTTGAACTGGTGAAGAAATATAAAGACTTTGGCTTTAAGGAAGATAACATACTGAACTGCCTGCAAGCTGCTAATAATGATGAAGAAAAAGCTTTGGAATATCTTTGTAGTCTTGGGTCCACATAACAGGAAACAATTTCACTGAAAGTCAAGTTTGATGTAAGATATGAGTCAATTATTAGTTTTATTTAAAATTTAATGCAGCGTTGACTGTTGTGTTCAGTTTTGTACAGTATAATCTCAATACATATAGTTATTCACTTTATGTCTGATTTTGCAATAATTATGAAAGCAAAGGACAAAAGCTGTGGCCCAATTCTTTAAAAGGAAGGTAATGCTGTCCAACAGATAAATTGCTTTCCCGCTGGAAAGTGTCAGCAAAAGCTTCTGTGCTATCCACTGGATAGGGATTTACCCAGTGGATAGAGTTATCCACCCTTCAAACAACCAAGCCCTGATTGCTTTGTTGGTTCTCATTTGGCCAATGGTTAGCTTATAATTGGCTGATGGCTGACTGTCACTCAACTGAAGAATTGTTGCAGTGTCCAGCCATGGTCTTGGCTAAGTAAAAAACCCAACTGTTAGTTGGTTGACTATTGCTTGACTGATTAATGACAAATTAGCAAATCATGTGTTGATTCACGAAGCCTGTAATACACATTATCACTAGCCTGTCCATCTGTCAGGTGATTGATAAACATTCAAATACAATATTATTGTATATTTTCTCCTAGTTGAAGGCAATAGTAACATATGAGGTTTTTTTCCTTTAAGGTTCCCTTGCAGGAGTGGTCAACAGACTATAGCTGAGGAGGAACACCCCTGCAATAGCTAAATTCTTTAAGAACTAACTCTTAATACTGAATACTGAAAACCAATGACCCTGTTGTCTCTTGGAATTAGTGACGTATGCCAGATCAATCAAATTTATGCGAATCTTTCAAAAGTGGATCGTTATAGCGGTAAAATATGTAAATGCTGTTGGTTGCGATTGTCAGGCATGTTGTCAGGCATTAAAGTTGGTTTTGATATAATCGTAGAATCGTGCCTTTTCGATCAATGTCGAAACATAGATTGGAATAAAACTGCATTCTAACTATCTTCGAATTAAACAGTTGACAACTATTTAATCATTGATTTGTGTGAACAGTGTCAAGATGGCCTATAGCTAACGATAGAAAAATATTAATTTTCTCAACACAGTGCACATATGTAGAAATATCAAGGTCCACTCATTTTGTAGAACTGTGAGTTAAGGTAGACTTCGTTTTCATGTAAACAGTCCTGAAGTATTGTTGCTTATGTCAATTTGATTCCAGCCTAAAAGCTGTTTGGAAATTTTTGACATGTTTGTTGGTTGGTTTGAGCTACTAAATTTTATATTAACCAATGGGACACATCACCAGGATTGTTTATAATTTTTTTCTGTAATGGCTCACAACAACAAGTACCAATAATCTGGTGACAGTTTTTATAAGTGCCTGTGTTATTTATTGCTTACGAAGACGCTTATTGTGAACAGGAAAGCAAAGCAAGTATGAGCGTTGCAGGTTGGGGACTGCTCCCCATCCATTCACACTAATTGCAGCTTTTACTTAAATTCTCTCTCTTACGTTAAGTTTTGTATGTTAAAAGATCGAGAAGAATATATAAGTAAATAATAACTAATAACCTAATTATACAATTACAGTGGTTTTATTTTTTCCTAGTGTAGATGATTCACTTTTTATTTACAAATAATGAACAATGCAAAGGGTGTAGTCGTAAAACTTGCTCAGAAGGCGTTTAGTTCAATGTGTTCACCCTTTTTCCTAAAAAAAGTTCCTCAAATTAGAATTTATGGTTACGGAATTAAAAAAGGAACAAAGTGTAATAAAAGATGAGAGTAATGAAGCGTTATTTTCCGTATCCTAACTGGCGGCGTTTGGTGGCGACGTTGACAGCGGCCTACCACAAGTCTCTACGCTTTGGCGATCATGGCAGATGGTTTCGATCGTGTCCTTACTGAATATATGAAATAAATTTACTGTAAGATAGGAATTTCATATCCTACTGATATATTTGTCTTAAGATGCTTCCGTTCAGGCCGACGAGTGAATGCAACGGTTACAGGAGTATGATAAACGCAGTACTTTGAGTGTAAAAATAAAGTCCGCGCTTAAAAATAGCAGTGCAGTGTTTCTTTCCCTTCATTCTCCATCGAAGCTAATCTTTCAAGACTTCAGATTAAAATTGACTACCCTAAATAAAAGACGAGGGGAATTTAACAGTACACCGAGATCCACTTATTCCCAAAGTAGAGTGAGCTTGGGGGTAATTGGAGTTGCTGATTATGGACGAAAATCTTCTCCGGGGATTTGGAAAATGTTGTCAGCAACTATTACTTCCTCTTAATGCTCGTATGTTCCAAAATTATGGCTTAACAGAATTCGTTAGGTTGATTCCAATCGATCCTTGAAAAAAAGAGGAGTACAACTCGAAGGGTGAGTCTTGTGCCTGTTCATCAGGGTGTAACAATCTAGGTAATTAAAGCTTAGCTTGGCTGAAACGTGTTGTATCCACTAAACACTTCTTCTCAAACTGTTTTTTATATAATTCAGATGTCAGTCATTGTATCGTTTTCTTGTGGAAGTAAAGAGCATTGCAAAGCAAGGAATGAATTGATGATGGAGGATTACGACACACTAACCTCCAATGTCAAGTTAAAGGTTTTGAAAAGAAAAATGAAAAATGCATATTTGTACATATATATTTTTCTCTATATACATTATCTGTAAGAATTTGTTCAGATATTTATGACAAAATTGTTCTTTGAATAACAAGTAAAACGTACTTTCCAAACTGATAAATTTCCGTATAAACACTGTAAGCACCATATCAATTTACAATGAATTTGACGATTTGTGGGATTGATCTTTTAAGAGTATTAAAAATTGGTATTACTATATCATGAATACTTTAACGAGTTTAGGTCAGTTTCAATTTTTAGGCGGAAAGGATTCAGTTTCACTCACTAATGAAAGCCTAGTTGACTGAACTCTTTCAGTCGGGCTCTGGATGTATCAATCTCCGGCACCCCCCGGCTGAGGTTTATATCTCTCTAAGTAAAGGAAGAACAATTTTCGACGATCATGTGGGGGAAATGAAAAGTTTCCAACCTCAGCACCGAACTTAATAGGAGATCAAAGCCAGGAGGTCAAAGAGTAGTGGTCTACCCCAAACAATTGGATGTATAGATGATGTTTCTCCTCTAAAACCTCATGGCGTGCAACTCTGTGTTGACTGTTTATCGCCACCATATATTTATTAATCAACTTGTGAAGCCCTCAAAACTTGGGTTGAAAATCCTAAAAAGAAGGATCAATTGTAATTATTACTTATCAGGGAATGTGTCACTATTTCGCCAACACCTCGTCGAACAACGACAAGGGACTCGTAAAACTTCGATTTTCCCCAAAATGTGCGTTTGTCAGTAATAGATGTTCCTGATCGATAAACAATATTTTGGAAGCTCTTTTAGGATAACAGTACCGGAAGAGTCAAAATAGTAAGCTCACTGAAATGACTGAATGACACAAAGCAACCGTTCAAAATACTTCAATTTGGACGATTAAATCTATTGAATTCAAACATCTATTCCATTACGACGAAAGGCTTTCAGTCAAAATAAACACCTAAGTGAAACGCTAAGCCCTTCCGCGGAAAATGATCAGACATAGCGGGAGAAAATACTACCAAAGATAAAATTATGTTTTTGTCTCATGGTATGAAAGATTCTTGGATCTCAGAGGCCAATTAGAAGGTTCATTTCAACTCTTTTGACATAAACTTTAAAACAGTGCCTTGTTTGAGAAAGAGTTTATAAAACAAAAAGCTAAAGAATAGGTACGGTACACTGGCGGTGTAGTTCAACAATAATAACTTAAGCTTTTTAATCCGGAGAAGAAGCAAAGTTCGTCAGCGGCATTATATTTTCCATCATTTGGCTAAAATAATTGGAGGGAAAGAGGAAGCAGTGAAGAGTCAGATGTATGGTCTTTCACTCCAACTTTCCTTTTTTGGCGGCTTTTCGAGAAACAGAAACGATGAGTTCCACGTTTATTCTTGGTTGTAAAGTAAAATTCCGCTGGCGATATAAATGCAAATCAGAATCCTTCAAAATAGCCTCACGGGTTTCCTCTATATTTCACCGACATTAATTCATTTACTAGAAACAATTGATAGTCATTTTAGGTGTATGGAAACATAAGAATGTTTTTTTGCAAAGAATTTCCTCATTTTTTTATGCTATTGTCAAAACGCACACAGGAAGCTTTCTGGAACAGCAGAAAGGTATCAAAGAATTTATCTCTAAATCTAGGTTTCTTGTCATATAAAGACTGTGAAATGTTGTTTACAGAATTCACTAAATCAGAAAGCTAGTTTAGCTCGTTAATTTCCATGCAATTATTAATTAATTGTTGGACCGTCTGTCACACGACCACAATACACGTAAATTCTCGCAAGGGAATCATGTTATCAAAAATCAACATAAACACTTTATATATTCTTCTTGGCTCGTAGAATTTGGAAACTGTTCTTAGTTGATTAACCCTTGGGCAAAAAGAAAGTTCTTGGAAATTGCTTGGAAAACAACCAATAACGGATATCAGTTTTGCATTTATTGACATTTACCGCCGCTGATAAAATATTGCGTTTTCACCGCTTGTTGTGTATTTATCATCTGTGTCGAGATCTCGGTTTCTCAAGAATGCACAGGTCTTTGGAAAAAGTCCTTCTATGCCTGCTGTTTTGCCTTAATTTTGTAGGTAAGCCAGTAACTTTAATTTTTTTAAAGCGTTTGCGATGTTCCATTTCAGTGAAATAAGCACATAAACATACGGTTTAGCTTAGCTGTTTGAAAGATCTGTAACCCTAATGTATCGATGTTTTTGTGAAAGAATTTCTGTAAAATGTAGCTTTTGTGTCTTGGTATTCGAATGTGAAGTTTATGGTTGTTTTACATATAAAAACTGAAAAACGAGAGGCAATCAAACCCTGACCTATCTGCCTTACAGAGACCAAAAGAACTGTAATAATACCCATTTATATGTGGTGACAAAATTTACTGGTGTTCCATTTTACTATGTAGATGAAAGCTATTGAGATCTTTGTCCAGCGGGAATTTGACAAGGTGAAAAAAAAAAAAAAAAAAAGAAAGACACTGTTACATTAAGTTAGCACTTGATTGTTGGGTGATCTAACTTTATTTCAAAAATATTGTACGGTGTTAATTTTTTATAACTTGCGACTGGTATTCCTATATAATCCGGAATTTACAGATTGTTGGTAAAATACTTATCCTTTTCTTGGCAGATGGGAGCAAACAACATTACGATGACTTGGAAAGACTCCAAAACGACTTATTCGCAAACTACAGTACAAACATCATTCCACAAAAAGAGAAGACAACTGCAGTAAAAGTAAAGTTTGATATAGCTCTCAATCAAATCATTGACTTGGTAAGTTTTTCAGTGTCCCTTAATTACGCAAACCTAATCTACAAAACCCGTATGGCTTAGTGTATGTCTTTTAACATGTTAGTTGAGGTTTCAGGGGTGCTAAAATTAGGTTTCTAAGACAGAACTGACGTTAGTCGCGTACATTTATCTCAGAAGAAATGCACCATTAATTTTATGTTTGTGGCCCGATAGATTTTAATTAAATTACACGAATCGGGGAGGACATCGAGCAAAGTTTCTTCCTTCACAAATTGGGATGAAAAAAGCGTCAGTTTTAAACAATGCTCTTGGGAGATAGCTGGTCATAATTTCACAGTTCCAAAATAATACACCATGACAAAGACCCAAAGGACAAAACAAAAGAGAATATAGTCTGTGCCTCATTTACTGTTTCCCAGCCAGTTTTATGACTGCGGTGCAAGTACGCTTTAATAATTCATAGTTATCATACGTCCTGTGGCTGTTGGGAAAGTAGCCTGAAGATAATTACTCATATGAGACCTGCTGGGCCGTGGGACTTCCAATCTTGATTTCAAAGTGTATGTTGGTGAACTTTGGCGTATTCCTGATGCTCAGCTTGGCGGCGTTTAAGTAAAGTGTTTCGCTTATAAATTTCTCAGTAATCATTGCATGTTGAACATTCTTGGCTGGCTGTATATTTTTTCATGGAAAATTTATATATTTACTGAGTTTAAGGCTAAGTGGGTCATCCATTTCTGTCAGATGTTCAGTTGATAAACAAGAACGGATGGCGCATGAGATACTGCATTTAATATAACCGTCACTGGTAGAGATAAGAGTAATGAATAAAAACCGAAGGAAGAGAACATTTTCTCCTTTTCTTTGTAACACAGAGCTGCGACTGTCTTGTCGTTTTATGGATGTAATGAACATTTATAGCGGCATGTTTTATCTTCAGACTTTGCAAATGGTTCAAGTCGTTTATACAAAACTTTTTTAGATACCCCTGTGCGAAACTGATGTGATCAATATCGAATTGAAGTGTATAGCCCAATACTGAAGAAAATCACAGATGAATTGTCATTTGTTAAGACAAGCTATTCTTTTCAGAGAGGAAAACATTATAAGGAATCAAAAAAAAAAAAACCCATGTTTCAAGGGATTTGTCCACATAATTTTCCTGATATGTCATATTTCTTGCCCGTGTGAAAAGATGTTGTCTCTGCACTTGTCTTAGGCAATTTATCCATCCCAACCTCCGCAACAGGAACCTAGGTGAGAACTTAATTGGACACCTTAGAATGGGGCATTTATACAAGGAAATTAGTCGAAAATGGTAAAACACATTATAATGTTTTCTAAAAAAATTCTGTTCTTATAAATGTTCTACGGTAACAAAGTCTAATGACGTCACGGAAAAGTTTCTGGTTAGGGATGGAGGGGAATGAAGTCGGTATTTCTTGGGAACTCACACTACCTTTTGAGACCATTCTCCATTAAGGTTCATCTGAATGCTAATTTCTTTCATATCGTGACTACAATGCCTCAGCAAAAAATATACAGTTTGGGCAGTTTTTGGCATATTTCTTAGTTATAATTGTCTTTACTGAGCTAAAAAACTGAGCTGTCGCAAAGTTGTCCTCATAAAACTTTCAAAGGTTATCAAAGTTAGCTTACAAGACATATATGGTGCTCAAAACAACTGACACAAAAGTTTTTGAGATGTGAGGTTAAGTAACTTTGCAATCGAGAAAATCAAGAATCACTGTTTTTGCTCATTTTCATTTGACTTAAAAAGAATTCAAACACAGGTGACTGGAAGCAGCTTTCACAACACTTCTCAACGTTACAACTTACAGCGTGCATGTGAAGTGTCTGTTACTGGTGTCCATTGCTCTGACATGATAATTTCTGAAAAGGCTGTCTTTTAGTGTTAATCAAATTTCATTGCATGAAAGCTAAGATATGTTAGGAGGTACGTCACAGATAAAAGCAATCAGATGTTGGTCAAATGTTTCAGCCAGGTTTAAAGTGCTCTTTCCCAAAACTTGAGTGCTCTAGCCCCGGGCTCTATAGCTATTTTATTTAAAATCAGTCATTACGCGTACGTTCGAACTTCAAGATAAGAAAAACTTCACATCAGTTCTAACGTAGCTAATGCCTTATATCAAGCCCAGGAGTTTTCATCAGTTTGATTCATGTGCAATTTCTTATTTTTGGATTACATCTGTGTAACGATGTTCTCATGATTTCTGGAGACCTGAAGACACTTTGGCGTTGCGTTCGTACCTTAGACACTCTCTCAGTACAATCAACAGCAGAAGTGTTTTGTTGAAATTAAAATTTGTGTATTCTGTATATTCCCTCACGGTTGATAATATCACGCCTTGCTTTGACGAAGAATTTTGCGCTGTTCAAATACAAATGTTCTAACTGCCTGAAAGCGTTTCACAGGATGAAAATATCAGGTCTTGATTGTTAAAACATTGAATTATTCATAGGGGAGGAAATAATTTTTCTTTCCTTCTTCTATAAATGATTTTTTTTGTGTTCTGATATCTTACAGGATGAAAGATTGCAAACCATGACTACCATTGTGTGGGTGAGACTGGTACGAATGAATTACAGTCCACGACATAGAAAAGTCACTACGCTTATGAAACGGAAATACGATTCGTCTTGAAAACTTAGTGATATTTGAGAAAATATTTTACCTAGCTTATTAAAACCGTTAGCAATATGACGTTACTTTGAGGCAAGGCAACCGCATCACTAATTTTTCTTTGTTTTTTCACTGGACAAACAGGATGGTTATATTTATTGTGTGAAATATGTAAGATATGTGTTCTTCTTGAGATTGTTTGGAAAATTGGAAACGAACCACTGGCTTAAAAATGTGTGAAGTCTCATGTACCAGTTTCCTTTTTGTATCATTTTCTCTTCAGTATTGGAGCGACTTCAGATTAAAGTGGAACAGCTCTACGTATGGAGGAATTAAGTCTTTTGTCACTTCTTCAAAGAAAGTCTGGCTTCCAGATATCACCCTGTACAACAAGTGAGTGTTGTCAGTTTGTTTTATTTGATAATTACCTTTCAGAGGATGGTCGTTCTACTCAATGGCAGTGTTGTCTAGTATCGAACAAGGATTACAGGTCGTGAAACGAAGTTAGCGCGATGCAAGTAAAAAGCAAGCATGCTATAATTTTACCTAGAATATCTTAATGGATGACCGAAATCACACTCATATTTTTTATATTGACGTATTTCTGAAATTTCTAAAAACAACCGGGGAGTAACTTAAATTTTCGTTTAGATTTGTCAAACTCACTCACTCAAGTTATATATATTTATGGAAGTTGAGAATTAAGGCAATTGATTGCAGAAACGAACTATTTTTTTTTTCAATTCTGTGTATAGCGCAAACGACAATTACGACAAAGAAAAAGAGGAATATTATGGTCTCACAATAAATTCCAATGGTAACATAGGCTGGTTCTATCCGACAATATTTAAAAGTTCCTGCACTATTGACGTCACTTATTTTCCCTTTGATGATCAGGTGAGTAGGTATATGCCTAACTCGATTGAGTTATCAATGCCTTTAATTTTGTTCTCATAGAGAAGCCGCATATGGTGATGAGTTTGAATGACTCTAGTTTCTTGGATGCTTGGTGAACCTCCTAGGTTGTCTAGGTACATCCAAGACTTATCATGATGTGAACTCAGTACTTAGCACCTTGTGATTAGTTTTTTCTTTTGATGTTCATCCTTAGTCTGTAATTGAACAGACACATGAAACCTAAAAAGGACAACGATGCCAAGAAAGCTAAAAAAAAAAATGCAAGCTAATGCATTCATGAGCTTATGGACAAATATCAGACCTTTGGACCGACAAACTTTAACAATAATATATTCCAAATTTCTTGTTAGAAATGCATCCTCAAGTTTGGCTCTTGGTCATATCACGGCCTGAGTTTGGACATATTCCACACTGGACCAGGTGACATAGAGGCTTTCACAGATAATGGCGAATGGGTTCTAGTCGCTATGCCTGTAACCAAGTTCATTACCAAATATCGGTGTTGCCCAGAGCCTTATCCATTCATTACCTACAATGTTGTAATTCGTCGTCGAACTATGTATTACATCCTGAATTTCTTAACACCTTGCGTGCTCATGTCAGCCTTAACAATCTTGGGTTTTTTCCTTCCCGTGGAGTCTGGCGAGAGGATGAATGTGGGTGTGACGGTACTGCTGTCGCTAACTGTAATACTTCTTTTGTTAGCCGAGGAGCTTCCAGCCACGTCGGAGGTAGTACCTCTTATTTCACGTTACTACACTATTACAATGATTAACGTTTTCATCTCGATTGTTTTCACGTGCGTTGTCCTCACGTTCCACCACCATGCACCGACCCCTCTGCCAGCCTGGGTACGACTCTTTATTTGTCAATGGTGCGCAAACGCACTACGGGTGAAGAGAAACAGCAATATAAACGAATCGTGCCTCCCGGCAAGAAGGTTCTTTAAAAATCGCAGCATGAGGAGACACTCACTTGGGGAGAGGCTTTACAGCGAGGAAAACGCAGAGAATGCTACGACAAATCCATTTAGTGACGCAAACCATTCACAGCCACCCGGGTCAGCATCGACTACATCAATCCAACTAAAGAAACTCGACGATAGAAATCCAAATTTGCGGAGGCGAACAAATCAAGTTTCAAAAAAGTCTGAAGCTTTGGACGTTCTTGTACAAAGGACTAAGAAAGACGACGAGAAAGAAAGACATGTCGAAGAATGGCACTTTGCTGCCAAGGTACTTAATAGATTGTTCATGTGGATTGTTCTGTTCCTAGTTGTATTCAACTGTCTCAGTGTTTTATTTTCGGCTCCGAGTGAGAATCTCAGCTAGACTCGATTAATATTTGTTAATAAGGGAAAGTTCGCATTTAAAAGGGCTTAAATGTTAACAGAGGGTTCGTATGTAGTGAATGGATATCTGGAGACCTCGATCCCTACGCCGCGTAGTTCAATTGTTCCATTCCATGCGCGCTTAGCAGCTCGCCAGGAGAATTGAATTTAGGAATAATAGCTGGTATGACGTGTGGTATGGTAGACGTATGGAACTTGCTTCCCCAATAAAAAATGATACGGATTGTCCAGAAATATTATAGAATGATTATCTATTCCTGGATAAGGTGATAAAATATCTAAATAAGATTAAATGAGAAGAAACCGAGAATCTATTGATAAATTCTACAACAATGACACGGAAGAATAGTTTTAACAACCGAATGAAACGCGGAAAGAGAAAATATGCCCCGCCAGAAAATAGCAATATAATTAAAAGGGATGAGTCATTCATAAATGACAGCTGCATGAAAATAAAACATACATAAAGTCACTCTTAATGCCAGTTTTTTTATTGTTCTGGCGGTACGCACTGATGACCAACAGGCTACTGAGCAACAACACTCTCTTGGACCCTGCGGAAATATGAGCTTTCTTCCATGAAGTAGTCCTTCCAAAATGTTGCATTGCAGGACAAACCAAATGTAATAAACATGGAATAAAACAAGTAAGGCTTTAATAATATGGGTAATAAAACGTTATCACGGATAACAATTCATGATCATTCTGAACTCCAGTAAAGATAATTATACGGAGACGTGGTTGTTTCAACTTTGATGTAAACCCCACATTGTAAAATAGTGTTTGAACATTCATTTTCCAATGCATGATAAAAAAAATAAACCAGCTTTGCTTGGGGCTTTAAAGTTATATAAGAAATATCAATATGAACGATTTCCATTAACGGATCGTCAAGTAAAAAGTCGTCTAAAAACGTTTTTCTCTCTCTTTTGTTTTAATGACTTCTATCCCCAGCAATAGTTACGTCATCTTTTCAACGGAATTATCATGAACTGCGCTATAAAATGGAAAGAGAAAATACCATTAATTATTATTTAAAATGAGTCAACGCGTAATCATAGCGGTAGGACTAAAAGAATCAATTTCGACTTATAAGGCTTAATTGCGGTCCACACTACCTGATCCTAGCAACAGCGAAGAACTCCCTATACATAGCCAGGGAAAACGTTCCCCAATGTTTTCGTTGGAACCTTGTTCATCAAAAAATAATTAGGCTTTATCAAATGAGTTGATAGTGTAAATTGTCCACTGTAAAGCGTTTCTAAGGCTGCCGTTTCAAGCGTTTGCCCTTCGTCAGAGCGAATAAAAACCTACTTCATCTATTCATTTCTTGTTCATCATAGCTAATCAAGACCATCATTCTGAAATGTCTAATTTGGCAAACATCACAGGCACAGAAACCAATTTTTCATGGGAATAAGCGTTTGTTAATTAAAAGGATTTCAGAATATAGTGTGAAGGAAGCAATCTGTTTTGACGTTGTATAATCCTGTAAAAAGCTTTCTCTGTTTACTCTTTTCGGAAAACGTCTAAAAATGCTGTAAATTAGCATGAAACCTTCTAATCGGTTAACCCAACTGGGAAGACCTTCTACCAAACATCAGATCCCTTTCACACCACTTCCTCTCTTCTTTTCTGAAACAAAGTTTCATGGTTTGGAAGCTTCGGGAGGTTTTCATTGATAGTCACTATGAACAGGTTCTCGGATCGTGCTCAACGCTGCATTCCCTTAGGGACCACGCTTAAGTGCCTTGTTCAGGATTTCTCTTGGTGCTAATAGTAAACAAGAAATAGTTAAATACAAAACGCTTATTTTGATATCTGAATTTAGCGGTCTGATAACTGCAGGTCGTATTAGAGCTAGAGTACTATGATCTCATGACCGATTTCTTTGGGAATGAAGTTCTTATTTCAGTCTCGGTTCGGCAAAACTGGCTCTAATTTTAAGCGTTTGAAACTCTTTTTTTATTTTTCACTGCTCAGCATGTTGCTCAGCGCGTGGTTTGCCCTCACTTGTAATGAAAGCACTAACACAGTGGTTTACAACATTCATCAGTAAAAAAAATCAGAGTATTTCCATCATTCAGGACGCTTTTACAACACTAAGTGATACTAGCATGAGCTTCGGTTCTTTATCGGTGTTAAGCTGTCATGACACTCACGAAGAAGATGATATGAGAAAGTCTATTATTCTAGGTTCTGCAATAAATTAAATTCCAGATGCTGCAACAATCAACACAGCTCTTTCCTGGAGTTCTCATTGGAAACATAATTGCAATAAAGATGATTAGATGAACCACTGGCAGAGCAATTTGTATGTTTTCAATTTCCTAAGAAAAGAGGAAAGGTTAATAACCAACCAATAGCGTTACTGATAAGATAAATACAACTTGAAGGCCACCTGTTTATCAAGCCAACCAATTACTTTAGTTAAAACTATCTGCGCTGTAAACATACAGCTTCCTTTACGCGGATGTTCGAATATAAATCGTTGAGGTATGCAGAGAATTGTGTCGCCTAGTCTTAAAAAACACCATAATAACGTGATGGCAAATTGTTAGTACCTCAACAAGAATGATTTCTTGCCAATTCAAACTTGTGACTAGCTTGGTTTCAGTTTATGTTGTTGGCATCTTGCGTTCAAGCGAAGGTAAGTTTTAATTATGCGCTTAAATGAAAAATCTTGCGACGACATTTTATTTTCAGTACGACAGAGAAGATATGGTACATTCTCCATGCAAATTCTCTGGAAGCAACGGATGTTTGTCGGTTGTAATCGCAAATGCAGATATTTTTCAGATTTTAAAGGCCTCAATTCTGCTCTGTTTGCCAAAAGGGAAAAAGAGAAAATAATCGGCTCAGAATATCAATCCTCCTCCACTCGAATCCAAGAAGAATTCCGCTAGTTGATTGACTTATTAAATTATTATAGAATTAGTGAGGAATTAGAAAGAATTAGAATTAGAAAGGATGAGTCATCTTTACTATTATTATTTTATTAAAATTTTCCACACGACAAAATAGGTGTTACACTATGGTAATCTCCGCTTCACAGGAAATTGAAGGGAAAAATGTGGATCACGATGTGAATAACATTAAGAACCAAATTGTTTGTTGAACTTTTAGCCGGTCAAATGTGTGCACTCATCATATTACAAGGAGAGGGATTGAACATTTAAGCGCGGCGTGGTGAATGTATTTCATAGACGTATGCGGCATAATAAAACTCATATGAAATTGTTTCGTATATATTACGAGGTTCGACAACAGAAAGAGGGAATTTTGCGAGAGATCCGCGTCGAATACTCTTGATGATATGATAACCAATAGGCGATATTGACGAGAAACCATGCAATAACTGAAGTAATTAGCAAAAACAAAAAAATCTTAGTTACCAAACTAAACAACACAGATATCTGGGATGAATAAACAAAAGCAATTCGCTGCCTTAAAAATTGACATGAATAGGCTGAAGTAAAAGATATTCGATTTACGTTCTTGTTGCATCAAACTGACAAAGATTTAAATCCAATATCTTCCGTAGGGTGGTCAAATAAGCTGACTTATTTATTACTCTGTTGATATGTGACTCGCATTCAATGTTCTGTTGTGATCATAAGTAAGAATAAATTTTGCGTCGGCTTTTCAACTAGCTATGGGATGAAGGAAGAAGTGTGTGTGTGTTGACCTTTCATGGGGTCTTTACTGATATTCATCCTTAGCTCCATTCTTATTAAACAATCTTGTTGTACTCAGCATCCGGGTTATCGCGCTTTCATCCTTTGTTTATTCAAAGTTTCATTAGTACAGTGCTACGATAGGTGAAACAAAACGTTTCCTTCGCCATCCTCCCCGTCCTGGTAATTTCATAAAAATGCTGATTTCTATTTTGTAGGCGCACCCAGTTCAGAGATAGTTCAGAAGCTTGAACATAAGTTATTGAGCAAATATGACAAAAGCGTGATTCCTAAAACAACACTGGAGAGCGGGGTTACTGTTACATTGGATTTGGCATTGAATCAACTCATTGATGTGGTAAGTTTATCAGTGTGAAATTGAAAATTTGAATAACTAGGAGCGTGCCAGAACGATAACCTAACAAACTCGGTCTGTCGAAACACACAGTCCCACTACAGGCCATAGTGGCAGAATTATAGATCTTTTAATTTTATCAGTGATACTTCGTAGCTGGTGGGACTGGCTGCTAGCTTGTGTCTACATAAGCTTTGTCTGTCTGCATGTCTCTTATTCTGTCAATGCTTTGACGTTTTCTATTTCAAATCTCGTTGCAGAACAAGCGAGCCCAGACAATGACGTCAGTGATTTGGGTTCGACAGGTAAGCAATTATTTGATTTTGGTTGCTTCTGTATTTAAAGAAGCGACCATCAAAATGTCTTTAATACCCATTACACAACAGAGTTTTAGGTGAAGAAAAGACTTACGTACTATTCAACGTTCACGTGTTTTGCCGGTATTGAGAAGTGTTACATGGCGAAAATGAAATCGAAAGTAATTTCCCTTTTAGCCTCTTTTTATCCCACCGGCTAGCCCTTTCATTTCCCTCTTACCCAGTTCCCTTCTCGGTGTACAGATTGGCATACATAAGGAGTAATCTCCCCTTGACATACAAATTCGCCTCTGCTAAAAGTAGGTCAAAGGTAATGGACAGAGCTGGCATACCTAGTCAATACGTCAACCAATCACATCATAAATTCATTTTCTGTTAAAACTTCGACATGAATATAAATGAAAGTGGTTTTCATGTTTCTAGTATTGGAGCGATCATAGACTTCGATGGAATTCCTCTGAATATGATGACGTAAAATCAATTGTGACACAGGCAAGCTATCTGTGGCTCCCAGACATCACACTGTATAACAAGTACGTTTTGCTCTTAGCACGCTTACGTACCTTAACTTTTGAGTTAACTTAAAAAAAAACTTAATGACTTGTTCCACAGGAAGACAGTTCATTAAGTTTCTCGAGGGTCTCACGAGATTAGAGGGAAACAAAATGAATTGTTTCCCGGGAGACCAATCGTTTAGTGATTTGTTTGGTACGGCGAAGAAATAAGTCGACATAAAGTGCAAAACAAATCGTAAATTTATAGATTACATGTAAGTGCATATGAGGTCAAAATACTGTAAAGCCAAAATTTCTCACCACCCACAATCATACTCTGTCACCCGCAACGCTGGTTGTCGGTCAGTTCTTAAGGAAAACCGTTCACAATTACTCTCTGACGCCAAAGTCTTTGGAATGTTGCCCGCTCACAGAGTTTTGACAGAAACAGTTCTATAGAGAAATTTTTTTTTTTTCGTCTTGTCACGAGCTTGGGACAAGGAAAAAATTCTGAGTCCCTGAGAGGAATCAAATCCAAGACTGACCGTAAAGCTCTACCACTGAGTGTCAGAGACTCGACAATGAGCTAGGCCAATACAAGGTTTATACGTGACCTACGTTCAACCTACTGGTGGGATAAGCATGTCGAATGATAATATTTAGGCTCAGTAATGACATAGGGTAGGAGTTCTGAGTTCCGCGCGCTGGGTGGAATTAGCGTTAATTTCAATAAATACACACAAAGGCATCACTGAGGCCAAGTGCTGCAAATCTGAGAAGTTCAGTTCTGGACATAAATGTATGCTATCACTGATAATACAAACACGTAAACTTTCATAATGACCACCTTATTTCTCTTCATGCAGTTATCCTTTGGCTATATCTTTGTATGCTCTGATACCACGTGATCTCTTGCAGCGCCAAGGACGATTATAATATTGATAAAGAATCGTATCATAGCCTGACCATAACTTCAGACGGAAACATATCAAGGTACTTCCCAACTATCTACAAATCCTCTTGCAGGCTAGAAGTCAAGAATTTTCCCTTTGACGACCAGGTAACAACTTTGAAAAATAATCTCTTTTTCAAGATATTTTTCTTTTTTTCAAAAAGAAACTAGCCTTGCCTAACAGTGTTTTCATCATTATCTTGTAGGTTTGTACTCTAAAATTGGGCTCGTGGTCGTACAACATTTATGAGATGAATCTTTTCAATATAGGCGACGGCGACACCAGCTCATTCATTGCCAATGGAGAGTGGATTCTTCAAGGCATGCCCTCAAAAAGACACGTGACTAAATTTCGCTGTTGCCCCCATCCGTACGTGTATTTAACATACAATATTCATATCAAGCGACGGTCCTTGTACTACGTGCTAAACTGTTTCATGCCGTGTCTAATCATGATGGCCTTAACAATCCTTTCGTTCTACTTACCGTCAGAGACTGGAGAACGGATGGGCGTTGGTATAACAGTGCTGTTGTCTTTGAGTATCATTCAGTTGATTTTATCCGATTCCCTTCCACCCACCTCGGAAGTACCGCTCATTGTCGTCTACTATGGGCTTACCATGTTAAATATTTTTATGTCTTTGGTTTTCTCTTGTGTCGTCCTAACTTTGTATCACCACACTGCTGTTCCGCTACCTCGCTGGATGCGAACTTCATTGTGTGAATGGGGGGTAAAATTGGTCCGCATGCAACAAGAATGGATTATAATACAAGAAAAGAGGAAACAGATAGAGATAAAGCAGAAATTCTCAGCAAACGACATCATCACTAAAGGTGCCGTAGTGAACTGGATACCAGAAATTTCGCTACCTTCTCAAACACAAACAACCGAACTTATTACAGGTCAAAGCCTCGATGAGCGGTCAAGTGAAACAGAAAATGACTTTTTACTAAGCCAAAGATATCGCGAAGAGGACAAAGCGCAAATACTTCGTGAAGAATGGAAATTCGCTTCACGAGTAGTCAATAAATTCTTCATGTGGATAATCGTAATGGCTATTATAAGTAACGCTTTGTATGTAGTCCTCAAAGCCCCCAGAGGCAATTTCATTTTGAATTGAACTTCAATTCAAAATTTGAAATCACATATTATTTGCACGTGAGAATTCTAAAATCTAAGACGGTCCAATCAAAAGATGGTACTAACTAGGGAATTTGACAACACCGTTAGTGCCAGAGATTTTTTCATTTTGTTTACTCCGTGCAAGAAGTAGAGATGAGAGACAATCGAGGTGTAAGGTTTCTTTTTCTCTCTCACTGCAGTCGCAATCGAAGGTGGACCTTCACATGAAGAGACCTTGAAATAAGAGTAACTCAACTAAATAATTATAATTATTAGTTGTAAGAGAAGGATATGTTCAAAAAAAGAGACCACTTCCTTCTTTCCGTCATTTATTCTACTGCAGGCATGGCACGTTGCATCTTCCAAGAATTTTGTATCTGGTATGAAACCGAGATAACTCAAAAACATCCTTAGATAAAAGGGACAACACATTTTGTTAGTAGATTTGATAGAGTTAGTAAGGGCTTTTTGTCACCTATTCTATTCTGCCGTGGCTGTTAGACTGAACACGGACATGAAGGTGCTGGCCAGGGCGGGCTCCACAATTAACAGAACATGTTGGTGAGGTTAATGAAATATCACCTGTACAGAACAGTTTCTGAAAACTGAATGTGGGAAGTGAGCGCTCTGATGAGTAGATTACAGGGTAGTTGTTTGAGATCCATGACCGCCCTGATCGAGTATGTTAAATGGCTAGGAATATGAGGGCGAAATCAACAACCGTAGTTAAAGATCTTTCCCATAACGGAAGGAGCGGATCATTCGAATTAATGACGTACATGTTAGTTTCCGGCTTCACCAGTATGAAAGAAAAACTAACCAATGATGTGTATCACCTGCAGTTGGATTAAAATGACAAATTCATTTAGGACAATTTGACCCAATGAAGCCAGAAGTAGCTTTCAAGACGAAGTAAGGCGTTCATCGACGGATTGATGGACGGATTGATCCCATGATTGCATGTAGTAAGTCTTGTTTCACCTGTAATTTTTACAGGTCTCAATATTTACAGTGAGACGCTTCAAGCCATGGCATGTGTTTGAGAATACAGTGCTGGATTGCAAGAAAGTTTTGTGCAGCGAAAAAGAGGGGCCTGTATTGTCTGAGTTTTGTGTTGTTGGTATGCTCAGAAAAGATGTTTTATTGTCTGTTCATTTTCTGAAAAAAAGATTATGTTGGGCTCCCAGAGTAGCAATAATAGTACCTTATTATTCTGAATTTTCGGTGTTCATAGCTGGAAATGTTATTTCGTGATGTACTGTTGATATATTGTAGGGTTATCAAAACATTTGTTGATTCCAATCATCTTAATAAAAACAAAAACAGAACAGCACGTACTGGAAATTGTTGGACATTTCAAGTCAACTCCTTCTCAGAAGTATAAAATTGAAACCTTATAGCTTTAAACTGATCTCTCTGTGACTAAACAGTTTTACATCTATGTTTTTTGTCGCAATTTCTGAAAAAAAAAACACTCCCTGATACTACTTAAAAGTATGAATTTCACTTTTAAGCCGTTTCTGTAGATAAAATAGATTGCCGTGATAAGGGTATAATGAATACTGTGTGGTTCTCAATAGTTATGTTATGTAAAAGCTTCCCTCGCTGTCAAGAACATGATACTTATATTTACCCTAAGTGTTATTAGTAGATGAATGGTAGCATTTTCCTGCTGTCTTGGCTTACACTAATACCTCTTGTATGTTTAAATAAACATGTCGCAAGTAGTATTAAAGATATATCATCTGTTGACGACTTAATCTTGAACCAAAGGAATGATAAAATATATACGTAAATCGGCCATTGCACAATGAAAAGTTAATAGCTCTGTCTTTAAAAAGATCTACAGTAAGGCTTGTATCGTGCGTTAAATGAGGCTAAATCATGGGTGGCCTTTGAGTCGCTGAGATTTATCTCGTTTGTACAAATCCAATGTGACTTCATTACAGGTCACTCTTGAAACACGGTCCATCATCAGTTCAAAGTGTAAATGAAAGAAAAACATCGATTTAGGACTTAATCGAAATTCTGAACAAATACACATACTTTAAGAGAGCAATTACCCTGTTTGCAGAGAAAACATCCAATAAGTTCTTCTCTCTCATTTCAAGTCCCATACAGCACTCAATTCAAGAGATGGCGCGTTAGCATTGGACAATAGACAGCTATAACTTCTCATAATTGCTGTCAAACCATAATGGAAAGAAAGTGCTGTGTAAACGACGTCTAGATGGGCTAAAATAAATCGACGCTTTTGGGTGAAAAGTTGACACACGCAGAACGTTCGTGTACCGTACAAATTCTACCTAAAAGCTGTGCGCTGTAGTATCCGCCGATCTCTTTTATCCTCTCGATAAAAAAAAAGAAAAGAAAATAAAGCTATTGTTGCAGTACACACTTCTTCCCATGCTTTGGTAGCTTGATTCCAGCCCTTTTGCGTTCTTTTGCCCGTCGATTTTGGAACCACGTAACGACTTGGCGTTTGGACACACCTAGTAAGTTTGCAAGCCATTTTCGCGAAGGTGGAGACAGATACTGCTTGAAGTTAAAACTATCTTCAAGAGTCATAATCTGCACTTCAGAGAACACAAACTTTTTGGTTGAATTTGTTGATCTCTTGGTAAGCCTCGGATTAAACGATCGACTTTTTGATAATAGTACTCGATCTGCCTCTAAAACAGACTCTTCAGTGAAGTAGTTGGCTACAAAATCCTCCAGCGCTGAGAGAGGGGACTTCTGTCGATTACATCCTCTTGCGTGAAAATTATACCCTGACTGAACGGCTACGAGTGCAAAGGACATCTGCTTTTTCGAGTAAACGGGTTTGAAGGCGGATAATCTATTTCGATTCTCAGCAGATTTTACTTGAGGGAGCGACATTCCGTTTCCTAGCTCCGGAGTATTTATGCAGGGTTTGTTCACAGCAATAAACTGTGCTTGTTTATGTAAATCGTCACCAAGTTATCTAAGTGTTTGATTGCAGCGATCCAGGGGAGTGCCCGGCTTAAGATACAGCTGCGCCATTGTCTAAAAAAAATTTTTTTTATCACATCAAAACTGCAATGCATTGACCGCACTTGGACAATAAACAAGAGTAGGTTGACTTACAACGTAATGTGGTTTATACAGTGATTTTTCACAATCTCTGAAGGTCATCTCCAAGTAAGGTGAAGTGGGTTGCTATGTCTGTAATTTTCAATGAAGAAGTAAGTCTTGTCGTTCTAGAAATTTATCGTAGATTTAACAAATACTAGAACGACTCCAGCGAATCTTTGGTCAAAAATTCCCAAATTGGACGGTAATCCATTGAATACCTAAAGGTTGAAATACAGTATATTGATGAAGGCCACCAAATTGTCACGTGGTTTAACTCTCTTTTCGTCTCATCTTCCCTAGCGTCTGCTAACGATGGTGCGGACCGGAACTAATGCCATAGGAGCCACAGTGGCTGGTGGACGACGGTGATTTGTCATTTATTTGGATACTGTTTTAAAAGCTGTGTTATTTTGTGACATTTCGGAGTAAAACCACAAGGACCTTCTTTTTGGTCCTATACCAGCGCAGTCTCCGCTCATTTCACAGAAAAAGTGATTAATTCGACTCATATTACAAACATCCAGGATCATCACTGGCACCACGGCAAGTCACTTGGTGATAAATCTTTGGCAAATATCAACTTCAAACTTCCTTCAAGACCTTTTTACTTGATTTTGACCAAGGATCAGTTGAGACTACTGTGATGTTAAGTGGTGAAAGCATCCTCCAGCACGGTACTATAGAAAGCGAGAGATGGGGCAGAAATACAGCACAACTTTGGTAGATTCCATTAGAAACAAGTAACTGTGGATGATACAGCTATCCCTTAAGGCACGTCTTCGAGTCAAGACCTGATGATCACTTCGAGCCTCTCAGGGCAACCAAGTCTTTGTAGGATTGTCCATAGTTAGAGTTTTAGAACGCATTGGTTTAGTAGAAAAACTTAACGTAGAGGTCCAAGATCTACCCTCTACACTTTTCTTCGATTTACCTCATACCTACACCGAGGGAATCCTCAGAAGAGGTTGATAAAGGCTTTTGAGATACTTTCTAATGAAAAAAGTAAATCTAACTCCTTCAATGATTGAAACTAAGAGAAACTAGAAGGCATCAATAGCTCCAAGAGCTACCTTACGTACTTGTAATAAGCATTTGTGTAACATATAGCAACGCTCTAATCAAACATTTAGGATAGCTGAGTTGTTTGTGACATGCGTCGCGCAATTTGATTACACAAAACTCGCGACCCTTCACACGGCTTGAAGGACTAACGCCCTTAAGTGTCAAATTCGCTGGTTCATTTCATATATACAAGATAACATAAACTGTTTATAATCTCTTGTATACATAAATATATCTCAGAAATTCGATGATTTTGCATTCGGCTCCTTTAACGAGATATCATTTCTCATGAACTATTCAGCCCAGTTTCAAGGCCAATCAGGAATCGATCGATATCCTTCCCGTTCAAAAAGGTAACGGCAGCTTGCTCAATTACTTTTAAATACAGTACATGATCTAATAGACCTCCGTCAAATACACAACTTTTTTCTAAGAAAAGGCCCCCACGCTGCATTGATTGTATTAGACACTCCTCTCTGCTTAAAGACGCCCTCCTTAACATTACTCCTACTAGCGAAATGGAGCGGAATTAGTCAATTTATTCTGTTTCTTGATAGATATAAAATGCCTTGGGGTTTGCATCTTGCTCAATATCATGGTCAAAGTAAGGGTAGCGGTCTTCGGCCTTCTCGATCTCAGCTAGAGACACAACAATCCGTGCTAAATGAGTCAAACCTTTCAAACACTTTCCAAGTAATTACTGACTCGGACATCGAAGAGGCTAAGGATAAAACAATGACCCAGGACGATTGAGATTTGAAAGAACAGCCTGGAACAGCCTTGACGTACAGACGAATGGATTGGATAGTCTGCTTTTTATCAACTCTTGATTTTACGCCAAACTGATGAGAGGTTTCTCGAGCCTTTCTATTTTAAAAGCCTTCTGTCTATTAATCGCATTGGCTCTAAAAATTAAATGGTCGTCCCTAACATCTATTTGATGAGTTACGGTATAAAAGAGCATCTAAAAAGGCTATCGCCACCCGTGCAATGAAACCAAAATATATTTCATTTCACTTCCGGAATCAGAAGTCGACCAAAACAGTGACTGAGGAAATCTCAACACAATCATTGACCGGCGATGCGAACGGGACATCGAACGGCGTTGGTTACAAGCCATGTTCAAAGTATTGGTATTTCAGTAATTTTGCATGCTTGCAGATTTTTGGAGTACAACTGGAAATACTTCACGGTGTTGTAGGTTACTACTGGATTACTGGAGATTTAGAAAATAAATATAACAAATAACTTGAAACTAAATAGATGTAAAAGAGAGTTATTCGAAAAAATATCTCGGCAAAGTCCCTACAAGGTTTGCCTGTGTTAAAGAACTTCTCAAATGGTGTTTTGTCTGGTGGGCGGCTCCGATTTCAGCAGATGCACTGCCTCATACGTGTAGGTCACACAATCACGGGACAATGCAGTTTTTTAAAACTCCGACTTTTTATTCAACAACATATAGATGAACTAAGGTAAACGCTCGGAAACATTAACAATACTTACAAACAAATGGACTTCTTAAGTCTGTCATAACACTGACTTGTTACCAATAATATGCTATTGTCTTCCACCCATCTTAATAAAAAACTAAAATATACTTTTAAATCATATCCATGTTAATTAGGTAATAAAACAATATTAGAACATTTGCTCAATATCTTATGGATATCCATTTCTCTTTCTTGAGTCCGCGTTTAAACTTATTTCTACTTTCTCCATCAACTGGTGGCCAAGTATACTTTCAATCGCGAGCAAAAAACCTTCTTATAAAGGAAATAATCATACTATTAAGGCCAGACCTCACCCATCTATCATCTCGGGTCATGGTTCAAATCAACCAGCGATGGCTCTTCTTGTGGGATCGTGTCACTTGGCCCCCTCATGTTTTTCTCGATTTCTTGCCTCAAATCATCCATATTTGTTCCTTCTACATGAGCTACAGTCTAAGTAACACATAAAAAAGAAGTAATTCTTTTCGTTTCAAGGAAATTATCCCACGACAAGTCCATGGAATGGAAAGAAGTCTGGTAAAAAGACTTCAAAATATTATCCAATCATCAGCTAATATATCAAATACCTGTGCGTTCCAAACGAGTTTAAAAGTCGGCAGTGACGTGACTCTCTGTTGGTATTTTAGCACCTGTCAATAACCACATCAGAGTAAAAGGGAGATACATTCACGTATAATTAGTCTTTACTAGACGTTTAGTAAGCGTCAGTCACAGAAATACAACAAATGAGATAAACAGAAACCTAGATTTGCCACACGTATTTGCCAAAAAGTATTTACTCTCTACGAAAAGTTTGAAATATCACCGACTAGGACTCTAGAGAGACTTGACTTCCAAGATGAGATAATCAGAAAGATATACCAGGCGCTAAACCAACACTTGAAATTTCTACCAGCCAATTAGAGTAATATTACATTTGGTGATGTCACCAACCTTCAACTGTTCGACGTTAACCCGCACAAATACAACTTGTCTGTTCATTCCATATTTTGCGTTTAATGAATCGAATGAGTCTGAAACGGACCTACATAATGAACACCTGCAATAAAATACAATGTTGTTTTAACTTTCTACTTTAAAAAGCGCAATTCTCAAAGTAAAACGAAAGGTGAACTAAGTGGACTTTTGTCACAAAGGAAAAGTTTAAAGAGGCCTTAGCAACGACAGAAGTAAGCAATTTGCTGCAACAAAGTACAGTGACTAAAAAGATCTCGGTTCAGTAGCTTTACATGGAAAAAATGGATTATACGTGGATGCGCTTTTCTTGTGTTACCCTAATGAAAAGTGACCAAATGGGTCGGTCAGCTTACCAACTGGCATAAAACTGAACAACAATTAGTTTGTCCCGCTCACTCAGTACTGATTGCCAGTCGTCGAGTTTCGTGATATTTCGTATACCGCACACTACGATAGAAACAAATGACAAGGTACAATAGATATTCTAAGAAAGACTTTCTCTCATATCGAAACGTCATTCACAGTCCCTGAAAACAGGCCCTCATGGCCCATACACACAGGTGGATGTTTGATACTACATACTGGGATCGCTCTCGTATCCGCGAAGGGCGCAACTAGTTTAATCAGTAGCTTATAACCTAGGTCATGAGCTTATGGTTTAAAACTAAATAATGCAGAGACTATGGAGCAGTGAGAAGAAGTCGACCTAAGCCGGGATGTATGGGTAACAAGTTTTTTACATCGGGTGGTAAAGGATTATTTCAGTTTATAACTTAAGCTGCGTAGAAAACATCCTCATTCTGTCAGGTCGTGACAGTATTCCGAACTGGATGAACTGGTTATGCTTCTTTAAAAAAAAAAAACAAAAAACAAGAATAAAGAACTTTAGCCTTTCATCTTACGTTTGAATTCGTGGGTGAAGTATGGCAAGTATGGACAACAGTTTATTAAAAAGGACGCTGGTTTTACCTGCTCCCTCTCCCTGAACAACAACGCCTTGTTGATCTGTTCTCTGTACCACAACAGTTGCACGAGGCACCAAACCTACAAATCAGGTCCAATCATACATTTCATTCCCAAAACTCTGACGAACAATTCATTTCCGATAAGTACTTCAAGGAGCGTATAACCTACGTCATATGCTTCTGGTAATGCCAAAGGATATAAGTTTTCTACAAGTCCTAAATTTAAGAGAATCCATACCAAAACAATTTTTTTTAAGTGACCTGGCCTATGAACAGCACAAGAATGAGA